TGATGAGGCAGCGTCACGGTACGTGCGCTCGCTCGCCATCGATCGTTTGGAGACGAGACGGCTGCTGCTGTCAGCCTCTCGCCGTCTCATTTTTATTCATTACTGTCATTAAGCCGTTGATCTTGTAGCCTTTACCATACGCTTTCTAATGAGCAATCTTGGATCGTCTACTACTGCTATCTATCAACGCACATCGGAAAGTCCTCCAGGCTTGAGTTCGGCTAGTTCCCAGGAAGCTGGGGTGACAGATATTAGAAAGCTGGCTACCCTGTTTGATGACGCCCCGGTTTATGCTAAAGTCCTGGTCGATCTGGATGCTGATCAACTTGATAAACCTACTGACGAGGCTTTCATCGATCAGGCAATAGAGGGCTTCGACATCCTCAAGGCTTCAGATGCCGGTGTTAGGGGAATCCTAACGAAGTGGACTAACTTCATACGAGATAAACTCAGAGCGTCCTCTGGGCCCGTGGCGTCCGGAGAGGACCCAACGGAAACGGCCGTGATCGTATTTAAAGAGCTCCTGTACAGCGCTTTGGTGGTAGAAGTACAGTCCGAGGTGGCGGTGCTGGTCTGCGCTTCCCTTGCTACGTCTGCGGTGAAGAAAGCCTTCCGCCTCCATCGGCTAGCCGAGCTTGGGTCGGCTCGGACGCTAGAAGATAAGGTCATTTCATTGTTTAAGCGACAGAGTTCTACGGTCGATGGGACCGAGTTTCTAGACGGAAAACAGCAAAGGCCGACATCCGAAGCACGTTCCGCCAAGTCGCCTAACAACCCGCACAAGCTACCCCTGCAAGTGTCTACCCCTTTCGATGGACCTACTCCCGCTTTGCCCTACACTATGTTCCGTAACGCGCTGAAGACAGCGGGCAAATTCTATAAGTTGAAAGATGATGACATGGTTGTTTACATTTTTAGAAACCTATCTCCTGGTCTTGGTCTGGACGTGATGAGCGACCTGGGCGAATCCGAGGCGAAGTTACCAAGTGTCTGGCTGTCGTTGGACGCTCGCTTCGGGTCTTTGGACACTCCATCAGGCATCGCAGCGCGATGGGAGCGTCTCTATATGAGGTCGAGCGAAAGCGTGACCGATTTCAGTGCTCGTCTGCGTAGAGAAGCCCACCTTTTCCACACAGTCACTGGGGTCAGTCTTACATTGGAGCTCATAGCCGCTCGTTTCCTCGTTGGTCTGCGGAAAGAGATACGCGCTAAGCTCGAGAGTACTTACAGTCATCGTTTGAATTCGCTAGCGCTCGAAGAACTCCGAGACGCTGCTGTCTACATCGAAAACAAGGACCGTCGAACTGCGATAGATTCAACCGGTACCTCAAAAGCGCATGTGAAGAAGTCGACCAGCGATGAGGCAACTCTAGTAACCTCAAGCAAGAGCAGCAAAGAGCCTTTGACATTCGGTTGTACCTATTGTCTCGAGCATCACATCAAGGGTGCTGAGAAGCATACTCAAGAGAACTGTTGGAAAGATCCCGCTAATGCTTCTATCGTTCCACCCTGGTATACAACCAGGATGAAGGGCAAGAACGAAGCGGACAAGTCGAATTCCGCGAAGGTCTTCTTGACTCCTTCTCCCGGTCTCTTCTATCTTAAGGGAACTTCGGGAACTATAAACTTACGTTTGCTGGTGGATACTGGTGCAGACTACACCCTAATGGCTCGGCAAACGGCCGAAAGATGTGGGGTCTCCAATGTGGAAGTTCTGGACTCTCCTATCCTTGTGGGATCAGTGAGCAGCGCAGAAGCGGTCAGGCTAAAGACACGCGGGCGGCTCAGGGTAACTGTTCCTGATAGAGATGGGGAGGTAACGGAACTCACTCTATTGGTCTACCTGGTGGATGGTGGTGCGCTGCACGAGCTCCTGCGTGGGGATGTCGTCCTGATGGGCATGAGCACACTCTCTCGGATGCGGGCGGACGTGCTCGTTGGAGAGCGAGCTCTGGTGTGCCGGGAACTAGCGACGACCTGGCCACTATTCACAGAAACAGACAACGAGCAACAGGCGCTACTTGGGCTCGCTGATGGAGCGTCGAGCGACGAAACTTGCGTCACCTACTCTCTTCCAGATGAGGCTACTATAAAGGAACGGTTGAGAGATTGGCAGTGGCCCCAAGTCTACGTTGAAATGAAGTCCACGGCGGTCCCGCCTGCCCGGCGAGATCCGTATCCCTGTAAGGACATCGAGAGGAAAGCCATGCGTCTGCTCGTGAGTCAACTCGAGAAGGATGATTTTATTGAGAACATCTCTCCTGAACGAGTGAGGAACGAAGATGTGTGGGTGGTGCCGGCCTTCATCGTGGAGAAACACTGTACCGAACCTCAACCTTCCATCGAGGAGCTCAGTGATATCAATGTACAGAAGCATTTTCGTTTGGTGGTGGATGAGAGACCAATCAATGAAGGATGTAGTCCGTTGCCCTCAACTTGGGAGGGATATCAGGTCTCCTTCACGCAATGTCTCGAATCCATAGGATCGAACTCCTGGTTCGCATCCTTGGATATTAAGAATGCTTACTTCTGTCTCCAATATCACCCATCGGTTCAACGGTACTTCGCTTTCAGCTATTTTGACGATGATAACAACGTGCACTACGCCTTACACAAGAGAATGATCATGGGATGGACTCACAGTGCGAGTTACTGGTGCTATGCCTTACGGCGCCTTTTAGACCTCGCCGTCCCTGAGATTCTCCCATATATGGTCACGTACATGGACGATTGCCTGATATGGCATCCCGAGCGGACTACATGTGAGGCCATGTTGAAGTTGGTGCTGTATGCGATCAGGAGGGCGGGGGCTGAGGCACCCCCTCATAAGGTGAAAGGACCTTGTAGGGAGTTGGAGTTCCTTGGAATGCGACTAGGACCTGACGGGTATGCTGTGGCTGACCATACGGTTGAAGAGCTACGGTCAGCGTTACGCGAGCGACCCACGACGTTGCGGGGCCTGAGGGTTAAGCTAGGACTCATGCAGTTCTGTAAGAGCCTCTGGTCGCCAGTAACGGGGGGAGCCCATTGTACGCTGACACATCTCACACAACCGCTTACGGCAATGATCGGTGACCTTACCTCGAAGGGTGCTCGTCGTAATGCGAAGCTCCCTTGGTCCGTTGAGCTTGATGAAGTCTGGAATACGATTGTGTGCTCTATGAGACCGCAAGTAATCGGGTTTCACGCCTCCTCCGAAGCTTCCGGCGACCTACAGTTTGTATTGTCGAGTGATGCCAGCCCGATAGCTGCTGCCGCGATCTTGTATGTTGGTAGCCGAACAACTCTCTTGCAGAGACTTGAAGCCGGTTTAGTGGTCGACTCTGAATGGCTTGGATCATGGGGTCGTATTGTTGGTATCTGGACGCATCGCTGGTCAAAAGCCGAGCGTCGGTACGATATTATCGACAAAGAGCTGTTCAGTCTCACCAAGGCACTATTACATTGGCGACCTCGAGTCCTGGAGTCGGTGTTACGCGTCCGAGGGCGAGCAGACTCAGCTGACACCAGAGGGATGGGCCGTGTTGCGGCATTCACCGACTCTACTGCAGCCCTGGGTCGCTTTGTGGCCCGTAACACATCCTCTTTGAAGCCTCAAGGTAGTCGTGATCGACGCTGGCTTGCCTGGTTGGTTGATTTGGCAGACTTTCCCGAGGTTGATCTCACAGTTAGACATCTGAAGGGAACGTGTAATCAACTGTCAGATATTCTCTCCAGATTGTTACCTGGTGGTTCTACAATGCTGGCAGAAGGAACCTCCAAGCCGTTAGCTCTGCTATCGTCGGTCCTGGTATCGACATTGGCCGACGGAAGTACGCCCGACCTGGCGGGCGCGCCGCAAGAACCTACCGGAAACGGCGATGATCAGCCTTCCGTGAACACGTTGGTGGCCGAGGCGACGACAGTCATCCTTACCCAGCAGAAGTGCGATGGTACTACGAAGGTCTATGGTACGCCTTTATCCGTTTGGTGGTCCCACTTCCTGGGTGAAGAAGAAGATGTACTATCAGCTCCCGCAGTAGCGGCGGTAGATATGGGCCTGGTCCGCTGGGGACCTGGGCTGTACGTCATTCGTGATGCCGCCGACGATGATGTGGTATGGTCCTTGGTCGTCCCAAGCGGGGCTGCTGGAGAGCTACCTAACCTACTGTCAACGAACTACCTTCCTGACTGGAGCATACGTGAATGGCTGACATTCGTCTTCCATGACATGTCATTCCATCAAGGAGTTGATAGTGCTTTGGTGGCTATTCTACAGCATTTCTGGTGGCCTGGTTGTGCTAAAATGATTCGTCAGTGGATTCAAAGCTGTGATCGATGCTTGGAAAACCGTAAGAACATCCGCTTGCATAGTATACCTTGTCTACGGATCCCTCGAGGACTGGTTAACCTTACAGACGGTGGCAAGCACGTAGCTGTCGATTTTGGCTATCCACGACAAAATTGGGTCCCTGCAAGTGACAATGTAAACATTGGCTTTATATGTATGGTGTGTCTCGCTACGGGATACACGGTTGTGGAGCCGGTCAGCAACATGAAAGGGATGACAGCGGTTCAGAGTGTGATGAAACTCTGGGTGCCTTTCTTCGGGATACCCCGAACTCTCACCGCGGACAACGCCATTACTACCAACGAGTTCTGTACTGAACTCTCCGCAGTGGGCATCCGAGTCTGCCGAATACCGAGCTTCTCTCCGTGGGCTAATGGAGTGGCAGAGAAGAGGATCGGTGTGATCAAAGACCGAATTCAGGGGATGCGTATTCCTTGGGACAATGCTCTCTCGTGGATACAGCTGTCGCTTAATTCCACTGCTAACGCTGTCGGCATCAGTCCCGCTGAGCTCATGTTTGGGTCAAGAATACGTAGTGTGGCCGATGCGGTCGTCGGAGCCGTATGTGAAGACTACGATGCCACCAACGACGACCCCTCGCAGTTAAATCGCTCAACTTCATTCTATGACGAGGTAGTGGCCTCCTTGACTCAATATGTGTGCAAGATGCGCCTCTCCATCATCAACAAACACTCCTCTGATGCAATCAGGCGGATGACGAGGTCTACCGGGCGCCTCCCCGTGGAGGGTGAACTTGTTGTCTGGCGTCGCCCAGATTGTCTACCTGTCGAAGGTCATGTTCGATTGGTTCATGGGCCAAGCTTACCAGATGGGCCCTTTTCTTATCTCAATTCGCAAGCTGGACAGGTCGTCATGCTACAACCTCTAGGGTCAACTATGCTAGTTCCAGTGTCGGCAGTCCACTTGGAGCCGCGTGGCGCTGCGGTCGACAGGAACAGGGCGACAATCGCTTTTCAATCAGCGGTTAGACGAGCCTCAGTGAAGAAGGGGGACATGGTGCTATGTCGCCTGCAGGACGGCCAGGATGCGATTGGTTTGGTTAGGGAAGATGGTTTATCCGACGGAACTGTCCATGTGATGGAGTTGATGGAAACTCCTCATGGTATGTGTCAACTGGTATGGGTAGACCCTAATTCTGGAGAATTTTCTTTTGGCGAAGCTGGTCCTGACGGCAACCTTGCGGTCGTCCGCGACGTAGATAAAGTTTTACTACGTCTATTCCGAACTCCAAGAGGTCGTCTACGTGAAAAAAGCCGGAAGGAACTTGTAGAGGCGGGCTACCTTAAGGCGTGAGACTTGAAGGAAGGGGGGGAGTCTGTCACCCTATGGCTCTGCATCCCTCTCATAGTGAACTTGACTCCCTTCAACTCACACGTAAGTGAAGATATTTAGCGAGTTTACGCTAAACATGATGAGGCAGCGTCACGGTAC